ACGGCTCGCATTTGCATTTCCATGTAGCGCAAGGGGCATGGCGAAAAGTTGTGATTTAAAGGGAACGGAGGCACGCCGAGGATGAGCGCGTGCGTGCATGCGTGCATGCATGCATGCATGCATGCACGCATATAAGAATCCAAAAGAGCAAAAGAGAGAAAGAGAGAGGAGAAAAGAGAGAGAGAGAGAAAGAGGGAGAAGAAGAGAGAGGAGAGAGAGACAGAGAGAGAGAGAGAGAGAGAGTGAGAGAGAGAGAGAGAGAAGAAGAAGAACGAGACGAGATGATTCTACCGATATGCCCCGTAGCAACCGCACACCGTCGTGTATACAGGTATATATGTAAGTATATACGCGAATGAGAAGCAACGAACGCGACGCGTGTAGCCCCGTGTATACGGAACGAAGGAGCTCAAGACCTTGTTCGTTGTGTCGTTCCTATGATTATACGCACGAGCTGTCCCCGCGGCTTCCAACTTAGTCGGGCATACGTCTGCATTTTCAATGAGAGAAAGAGAGGGAGGGAGGGAGGGAGAGAGAGAGAGAGAGAGAGAGAAAGAGGGTAAGAAGATATATATATATATATAGAGAGAGAGAGAGAGAGAGAGAGAGAGAGAAAGAGAGGGGCAAAGAGAGGAGGAAAGAAAAAAAAAAACAAGTTACACTGTAGAATAAATTCCAAAGAATAAAGTGAAAAATAATGAACTTGTGTTCATATTACATCATATCTATCTATATATCTATCGATGTTAAATAATGCGATAAAAGGATTTTACCATAAATAATTAAGAAATTATCAAAGACCGTGAACGAGATATATAAACGGTAAAATTTGAAATAAATTCATAATTTATATATATATATATATATATATATATATATATATATATATATATATATCGGGATACATTGTTAGACGACGACGATCGGTTCAATTCTTCCGTAGGAAAAGAAAAATGTGTATGCGAGTCAGTGGTTGTAGGAAATATTGGTAGGATGCGGAAAAACCTTCCGGAATCCGTTTTTCCATTTCTGCCTTCGCGTCACGTATAAGCGCGCCTCGTAAAGTCGATAGACGCCAAGAAGCCGAAACGAGAGAATCTGGAGAGAGAGAGAGAGAGAGAGAGAGAGAGAGAGAGAGAGAGAGAGAGAGAGAGAGAGAGAGAAAGCGAGAAGCGAGACTGCAATTCCTTCTTTCTTCTAATACTTTCTCCGTTTTCTCTTATTCTTTAACTTCGTCTTTTTATTCTCGTTTTTCTATCTCCCTCTCTCTCTCTCTCTCTCTCTCTCTCTCTGCTCCCTCAACTCCACTTTTACATCCCTACCCTGCCCTATTCTGCCCTGCCCTGCCCTGCCCTGCCCTGCCCTGCCTTGCCCTGCTCTACCCTGCTCTGCTCTGCTCTGCTCTGCTCTGCTCTGCTCTGCTCTACCCTGCCCTGCCCTATCGCGACACCGTTTCTCCGTATATTCGATTTCAAATTTGCCATGGAAGAGAAAAAGAGAAAGAAAAAGATGCTGCTGAGCTCTGAGGAAATTCAACCATTTTCAGAATTCTTTAAGTCATCCTTTTTCCTCTCAATTTCTTTCTGACGATTTGTAACATATATAATATTTTATACATATACATATATACCTACATATGTGTAGGTGTGTGTGTGTGTGTGTGTATGGGCGTAACGAGAGAGAGAGAAAGAGAGAAAGGGAGAAAACATATAGCCGATCTATATAAAATCTACATACATATCTCTTATGTACATAATAAATCAAATCTACATCTATCTACGAACAAAAACTCCAAACATCCGAGTATATATCCTATATAACAATATATGGTTTATAATACTTCAGTGAAATCCAAGTCGATTTGAAAGCTAATTTAATCAAATCAAATCAATTGAATCTAATTTAAAATAAATAATTAAAATTGAATCGATTAATGCTAATTATTGATTAATTAGCATTTAAAGGAGGGAGAAAGGAGGGTGGTAATTGGAGGGATGAGAATTCGGAAAATTCGCGATGTACTTTTTTTTCCTTTTTTTTATTTTTTTTTTTTCTTTTTTTTGTGGATTTTTTTACCCCCTCTCGAACATAGAAAGTTCATTCCTCAAGTGAAATGAGTCTTAAAGTGGGGGAGAAAAAAGAAAGAAAAAAATAAAGAGAAAAAAGAAAAGTGAACTTGTTTTTGTTCGAAATTGATACACCGTTAACGTTGAACGCAGGTAAACAAAAATAAAACTACAAAAGAGGTGGATGATCGATAAAATGGAATGTTTCTCGGAAGAACGAAAAAAATGTAGACTGGATTACCGAGAGTCCGCGTTCCGCCGCGAAAATTCTTCGCACTCGTTATCGAACGATACCGAGCAGAGCCGGCCCATAAAATGGTTATTAGGAAAGTTTAAAAGTCGAGAGAAGCACCTGTTGAACACATGAAAGAACCAATGGCAATATTCGAAAGGTCATTCGCACGTCTTCGGCAATGTCGTCATCGTCATCGTCATTATCGTCTTCGTCGTCATCGTTTGTCTTTGTTATCTTTGTCGTCATCGTACGAATTAAAAATAATGCCTTACAATTCATAAATAATTATTATATACGTCAAGCGTAAATTTGACCTTATCTATTTAATACCTACTATGTATGTTAAGTTCGCAATTTAGATCTATATTGTCACTTAAAATTATCGCTCGAGTACGTCGAAGTAAATAACAGAGAGAAAAAGAAAGAAAGAAAGAGAGAGAGAGGGAGAGAGAGAGAGAGAGAAAGGAGATATTGAATGACATTATCTAAACGTGATCGGTACTAAATGAATGCACGCATGCATACAGAGATACATAAAATCTATACGAGTATAAATATTGTATAAATCGTCTAGGTCCGATCTAGGCGTAGATAAACTTTCAATTTTAATAAAACTTATCGGCTATGGTGAAAGTATAGTAAACCAAATCGAATACGATAGGTCGTTCCTTTCGACGGCTTTCTTTCTTTCTTACAAGAATTTTCGGACTTCTATTTTCGTCTCGAGTCAAGGATGAAGAGAAAGAGTGAAAGAAAGAGAAAGAGAAAGAAAGAAAGAAAGAGAAAGAGAAAGAGAAAGAGAGAGAGAGAGAGAGAGAGAGAGAGAGAAAGAGAAGGAATGTGCTGAGAAAGACGATGGAGGATGATGTTTACGAGCAATAGTAGCGGACCAACGGGTCCTTTTTACCATCACCGTAACGGTCGTATAGGGTTTTCTTCGTAGACCCTTAAAACAGCTGCTTGGCGCGGTACTTTCGACGCTTGTCGACGAATTCGGGATTGAAATCGGTAGACCCTAAGGAGCCTGCCAACCAACTCCAAGTGTTTCCACTTTGGTTACGGAGAAACGTCAAGGGAAGTCTAAATGAAGAGAGGAAAATATGAAGAAGAAGGAGAAAGAGCAGAAGGAGGAGGAGGAGGAGGAGGAGGAGGAGGAGGAGAGCACGTGGCTCTTTTAAAATACGATTAAAATCGTGAAACTCAACGAGTTTGCTTTTATACGATGTTTCTTCTACAACCAGTCAGTCCATTTTTAAACAGTACGGATTAATTGCAATGTGACTTTTTTAATGGATCTAAATGATCGGTAAATATTTAATGATAATCTTCTATATTACACACTGTCTCATTTTCGTAATGTTTTCTTTTTTCTTTTTTTTTTCTTTTGTGTGTATGTGTGTGTGTATGTGTGTGTACGTGTATTTCATATTCCTTTGCTTTATCAAAATTTCAATTTAATCCACCGTAGATTTTAATTGCTCCCGGACGTTAAGGTTTAGTTGGATCGTCATTTTAGATAATAAAGTTGTCAGTTCAACGATAAAGATTATTTATCATTAAAAATTGTGAAGTGAATGTACAAGACAAGTATTATTATTACATCTCTTTCTTTCTATTTCTCTCTCTCTCTCTCTCTATCTATCTATCCATATATCTATCCTATCTCTTTCTTTCCTTTCTCCTCGTCTCTTGAGCAAGTAATCTTTTTCCTTCGACACCAAAATCAAAAGCTAACGAAAAGCAAAATGACAACGAAGAGACGATCCATTAAGAGCGAATGTACTTCATATAAAGGCGACGAGTGAAAAGATAGTCGGTTGTCGATAAAGATTATCTCTTACCAAGTGTCATTAACTGTTCTTCCATGATTTTATAATCTTCTTCGAAAAATAGAACGCGTCCTTTAATCGCTTTAAAAGAGGAAAAAGAGAAAGAGAGAGAGAGAGAGAAAAATAGAGAGAAAGAAAAGATATTATCCTCTATTTAACAAACATCTTTCAGAATTTATTTATATATTCTTTTTCTCTCTCTCCCTCCCTCCCTCCCTCCCTCTCTTTCTCTCTCTCTCTCTCTCTCTCTCTCTTCCTTTCTCTTTATTTCCACGTTGAATTTTCTTTATTAACATAGACCCGTCACACTTTCAAACGGATATCCCGACGCAATATCGCGGTTGAGCGTACTAAAACGATAAGGCTCGATGGATTCTCTCGATCGATAATCAAATTCGCCGGTACAGAAATGGCCATGGCGTATAACCTAATTCCAACGACGTGGAGAGATTAGCCGTGTATTAACGACGTGACCGCGTAATATCGCTAATATCGATTACGATGCACAACTAAATCACTTTTCTCGCGATAAACGAGACACTCGACGGTTAGAGATAGGTAGGTAGGTAGGTAGGTAGGTAGGTAGGTAGGTAGGTAGGTAGGTAGGTAGGTAGATGATGATGATGATGATAATAGTGATGGTGATAAAATAGTAGATGGTGAATGACGAAAAGAAGAAGTAAAAAAGACTCTCGTGTGTTGTGGAAAAATTCGATGCAAATTTCAAAAGGGAAAAAGGGAAATGGAAAAAGGAAAAAAAGGGGGGTAAAAAGGGAGAAAATAGAAAGAAAAAAGGAAGGAGGAAAAAAAGAAAAGAAAGCGGGGATGAAAAAGGAAAAGAGAAAAAGAAAATACGTGAAAGAGACTTAC